GTGTAGATAGATAGATAGATAGATAGATAGATAGATAGATAGATAGATAGATAGATAGATAGATAGATAAAGAGATAGATAGATAGATAAAGAGATAGATAGTAAAATTATGACTTGATTCTCGAAATGTCAGAATTTTGTCTTCTTCAATGTGGGCCTAGAGGTTTCTTTTTCCTAAATACAAGTTCATCTACATTATATACTTAAATGTACTATTGTCAGTAATGATCTTGATAATACGACTGTATGCTTCAAATACAAGTCATGATGGCACCTCCCTGTGGAGAGATGGCCGCACAGCATCTGGTGCAGCAGCAGCTCTGTCTCCAAACAGCGGATCTCAGACTCTTCTCCCCTGAGAACATCCGGTGAGTCCAACAGTCTCTTCACTTCTTGTTCTTCGAGACATTTGTTTGAGAAGATGTTTCACTAGTGAAGAAACCTTGTTTTTGTTTGTGTTTGTATTGTTTTGTATCTTAAAGAGAGTTCACTCTGCTCAAAGTCTGAGAATAGAAGGATTTAAACTGATTAGTTTGTTTGTTGTTCATCCCTGAAAGTGTTGTTGTGTTGTTAGTTGATCTCTGGACTCTCTATTGCATCATTCAGACTTTTTCTTTTCTCACTACTTTATATTATAATTCCGTGTGTTTACAGACAGATATGTTTGTTGAGTCAACATGAAAAGTTTCTCCATCGTTACACCAATGAAAAGGTGGAGCAACAAGCTACAGCCTCCCTGGCTTTGTCTTAGCGTTGTTGTCAAAGATTTACAACTTTATGATTTATGACATCCACACCTTTTGTAATACATTTCCAGGAAAAAGAATCAATGATGAAATAACACCATTTAACTGTCAAATCAATAAATGCACTCAAGGAGTTTACAAATACTTCAGGCATCGTAAAATCCAGGCTGCAGCTCCACAACACATGTTGGGGAAGGCTGAGCGCAAAGCCTCAGGTTGGCTCAATCTAATTTGGTTGCATTTTCTGCACCACTACAATATCAACTGTGACCAGTCCTCCATCTTCCTTATTTTGGTCTTGTGAGGAACCTTTATTATTTTTCTTTATTTTAAGATCATCAATTCTTTCAAGTTCTGTAAGGCTACAGCCAACATTTGGTTTTGTGGAATTGGAGAAAGTTTTTACAGTTGCGATGTTCTTCAGTTCTTTGGGTTCGATGTTCTGGGTATGTGCTGCTTGATAAGAAAAGTGTATATAGGTCAATTTTATTTGTTGTTTTCATATTGTAAAATCTTACAAAACAAGTGATTTTGATTTGGTTTAATAAACTCAGTGAAAATATTAAATACATATTCACATAGAGTATTTAAATGTTAGGCTATTTCATACTTCTTACAGTGTGTTTGTGTTACAAGTATTTTGTCAAACACTGTAAAGGCAGGAGCTCTAGAGGGATTTTTTTTTTCAAAGGTACAGTGTGTAGAATTTTGTGATATCTAGCGTTGAAATTTCATGTTGCAGCTGAACACCCCTCAACTCACCCTCTATGTCTAAACATGAAAAATAATCTGTGGTAGCCTTCAGTTGTCATAAAAACTCAAAAGGTGTTTAGTTTGTCCAGTCTGGACTAATGTAAACAACATGGCGGCCTCCGTAGAGAGGGACCCCTCAATGTAAATATAAAGTATTTAAATATAAAAGGTCTTTTCTGGGGTAAAGAAAACTACAATTCGTACAATTTAGATGAAATAAACCAGTAACAACATCATGACGATTATTCTACATTAAATTTCTTCCAATAGATCCCTTTCCCCTAAATCTTACACACTGGACCTTTAAATCACAGCACATCCTGAAATCCTGGGTTTTCATCTACTACAGAATTTACGGTACAGTGCAGGTGGCGTCTTGACGTCACAGGGGGGTCAGTGACGCAGCACGCAGCAACGGTCTCAGTGGGTGTCCATTGTTTGAGGGCTTCAGTCAGAGGAAGGTGAGGAAACCGAACTCGAACAGCTCAGACCGGTGTCACATCATGTCATTTACTTTGTGGTGTTCACAGCAGAGTTCGATCAGGTTCACTCGGATGTGATTCACCTGGAAGAATAAAGAAATACTGTCCGTAAGACGCCGAGCTAACGACCGAGCTAGCATGCTAAGGTTAGCATACAGGATACATGATTTCATCAGTTGAGTCAGTTTGAGTTCGTTGATTGTGTTTTTATTAATTCGTTTAGATCAGAAACGTCTCAAACACTGTGGGTGTTTGTCGAGTTGTGAAATCGCTTCGTGTAGTTTTCTATCGTTTGGCAGGTAGCCGCTAGCTGCTAGCTCTGCCTGCTAGCTCTGTGTGTGTGTGTGTGTGTGTGTGTGTTGTTGTTGTAGCAGAGTTGAACTGTCAGAACAAAGACATCAAAGACAAAGAAATGTCTCTGTCAGGTGTTCCGCTGCTCGTGTCCGTCAGCAGAGTCATTGTTCGACCAGCTCGGGTCCAGAGGCTCAGTGTTGAATGTCCGAGCTGCTGATTCCTGCTGTGTAACATGGAGGCTAACAGACAGCTAGCCGTTGTTAGCTGGTGTTGTGTAAACAAGATAGAAGCAGGTAAAGTGAGGAGCTGGATAAAAACAACAACAAGCACCTGTGGACACGGTGCGTGTCATCTGCAGCTCCAGGAAACTCTGTTCTGTTGAAGTTAAAACACGTTTGAACTCAGTCGAAGCTGGTGAACAACTCATCGATCTACTTGTTAGATTAGATTTATGAAATGTCGCGACACTGAGCCAACTCTTACCACTGACTGTGATTTCTCACATGTACGTTCCTCCCGGTGTCTGGTCTGTCTACTGCCCCACTATTTTATTATATTGTATAATCAAGTTTGCTCTGTTGGAAAATAAATGGCAGGCTGTGACTCTTTAAATCAGTTCCTTTTCACAAGATGCTTTTCCATCACTTATTTTTAATAAAGATGGCAACTTTTAATTATCTGGTACGTGTTCACTGTATGCACTTGTTAGCCGCACTTGTTTTTGCTGCTTTGTGAATGTTGTGGTTTGAAACTCTTCTCATAATAATCCATGTTGTAAATATTGTAATTCTGTTGATGTGTTCAGCTACACGTGACATCTGTTGGATTTCTGTCAGTCCTGGGTGAGGGATCACTCACACGTGGCTCTGTCTGAGGTTTCTACGTGTTTTAAAGTTTTTCTTTTCTCTGGTTGAGGGTTAAGCACAGAGGATGTTGCACCTTGTTAAACCCTATGAGACAAATTGTGATTTGTGAATATGGGCTCTATAAATAAAATTGATTTATAACGCGTTAAAACATTTTTGATCAATTACATGTTACAGCCTCCTCGCTGTGCACACACATCGCATAAGCATTCCATCACTTTTGTTATATTGCGATGGATGAAAACACTGTGATAATAATGGATGTAATCTCGTTGCCCTAGATAGACATAGCTAACACCAATGCTGTCCTGCAATAACTTCTCCCTTCATGAAGGTTGTCATGTGCAGGTTTTGTTCAGAGGTGTTTATTCGATGTTTGATCATTTTAGAGGCTGTAGGTTGTGGTGCTGTTGGACTGTGTTGGATTTCTTTTATTTTGTGTATTCTAACTTTGGCAGTAGCTTCAAATTTGCAGTAACACAACACTATGTAAAAAAAGAACACACATTTATAATTAAAAGTTAGAACGAGAACGTGTAAGAAAACTATTTTGAAATCTGATCAACAACTGCCCTGGTGTATCAGTCATATTTACACCAGTCACTTGAAGTGTCACAGATCTGATCACGTGTTCTCTCAGGCAGGATGTTGAGGCTTCGCTGTAAGACCAAAAATGGGAGCCACATCATGCAGGGCTTAACTCACCAGTCCTGCGTCCAGGAGCTGAAGAGTAAGGTGGAGGAGCTCACTGGGATCCCCTGTGACGTGCAGAAAATTATGGTTGGTTACCCACCATCCAGCCTTGATCTCCGAAACGGAGATGCTCACCTCAAGGACTACCCCATCAAATCAGGTATGCTGACAAACATGAAAAATAGATCATATGGACCAACCCCACACCATTTATTCTAGATATGGTTCAATTATTTAATTCAATTACACGTTTTAATGTCTTTTTCCAGGACAAATTGTGAGTTTAATGACTGAAATCACGTTTTGTGGAGATTTTAGAAGAAAGTTGCAATGGTGGCAGAAAAATCTTCTCTTCAAAACTGATTTTAACGTGTCCCAATTTTATGTTTTAATCTTTAGTTTGTCTTATAGTCGTTCTTTTTAATCATTTGTAAAATGTCTTTGAGTTTCCTTTAAAAGCACTATACAAATGAGATTTTTAATATGTAAATAGTTATAAACACGGTCATGCTTGTCAACCAGTGTGTGAGCAGCCTGAGGTGTGTTGTGTCCCTGATGTGTTGTCATCGTCTACAGGAGACACACTCATTGTTGAGGAAGAAAAAAACAAGCCAAAGCCTCAGGATCATCCCACTGTGACTAAAGTGCCGCGTCTGGAAGCCTCACCCGTGCTGGCACGTCGAGTGGTCCCAGCCGACAACTCCTGCCTCTTCACCAGTGTGTATTATGTGGTGGAAGGAGGTGTATATGACCCTGCGTGTGCTCCTGAGATGCGGGGCCTCATCGCCCAGATCGTGTCCAGTGACCCTGCAGCGTACTGTGAAGCGGTGCTGGGAAAGACCAACGAGGAGTACTGCACCTGGATAAGACGCGACGACACCTGGGGAGGAGCCATCGAGGTGTCCATCCTGTCCAAGTTTTACCAGTGTGAGATCTGCGTGGTGGACACTCAGACAGTCCGAGTGGATCGATTCGGGGAGGATGCCGGCTACCACAAACGCGTGCTGCTCATCTACGACGGCATCCATTACGACCCGCTGCAGAAAGAAACCCCCGGCTCCGACGTCCCACCCCAGACTATCTTCTCCACCACGGACGACGTAATTCTGGCCCAGGCCCTTGAGCTGGCAGACGAGGCTCGGCGCAAGCGGCAGTTCACAGACGTAAACCGCTTTGCGCTGCGCTGCATGGTGTGCCAGACTGGCCTGGTGGGACAAAAGGAAGCTCGTGAGCATGCCAAGGAAACAGGCCACACCAACTTTGGGGAAGTTTGAATTTTGTTTCTTCTTTTTTTTTTCCCCTCTCACAAATAGAACCACCACCAAACCCGTGCCCCATGTCTGGCAACTGTGTCAGTCTGTGTCTGTCTGCTTGTGTGATCCTCTACCTCACATTGCCCAGTGACATCTACGGAGAATCTGCAGACACTGTGTTTCAGCCTCTAACCTGTTCAGTATTATACTTATTAACTGGCGTCAGTTCTCAAAGTCAGAAACACTACTGCAGTGCTCCAGTGTCAATAAACCATCACACTAATCTGTTGGAGATGGTTCTCAAATCGATGTAACTGGGTCCAGGGAAATATGCAAACAATTCTTAGGATTTGATTTAATCCGTTTAGATCACTCGATGGTTGTATTGAAACAGTTAAATGTGACTGAATTTAAACAGTTTAAAACAACAGCTGAGAATTATTTGTACTATGATGTGATCCTACTCACTGTTGTCTTAATCGCAGAACACTATGTTTGACTGTTATACATTGTTGGTTATGTAGCATTTTTATTTTATTTCCCTTGTTAAACCTAAGCTGGAGTCATGGCCACACTTATTTGTGCTATTTGTAACATCACATTGAATTTGACTGAGCAGCAGCCAGTGAACTTGAAATGTCATGATCCAAAGTTTACTAGTTTTCGGGGATTTTTTTTTTAAGTTGCAACAACATTTGTAAGTGAACTTGTTTTAAATGAAATAAAAGAATTCAAAGAGGATGGTGCTGCAAACAAAACGTTTTACAAACTCTGTAGGGTTTTGCTTTTCTCCATTGGTACGGCAGATTCTTTTCTGGAGTGTAGATTTTTTAAATTGTGTGATTTTTCATGCTGTAAGAACTGATCCTTTTAGACAGTTTTTTGTTTTATAAACCTGCCTATTTTTGAGAAATACAAAAGCTGTGCAGTGTATTTCAGAACACATTTATGGTGAGAGGGTGGTGTATTTTATAAACCTATGAAAATATGAAATGAGTGTGTAACTGCATGATGCTCAGGTGCTCTTTGGAAGTTTCCATTCCCTGAGTTGTGAGTCGTTTTCCTGACTTTGGTGTCTTTGAAGACAGAATGTGAAAAACATGGAAGCAGTAAACTAAATGTGTATTTATGCATTTAAACAATTTCCAATGTTACTCCGATGTGACAGGCATATTAATCCTTGTAAATGTTTGCAGGTCATCACAGACTGTAAAGGCTAAAAAGAGAGATGGACAAAATTAGCATTTGAGAAGTTCAACATTAGAAGCTACTATTTAGAGTTAATTGTAAAATGTTAATTGGTTAATGAGTGATCTCGGATTTTCGCTCACTTTTCGTGTTCTGACTTTAGATGCTGTCACGTGAATACATTTTTCAGATTATTCCGACACCACATGAAGGCACAATGACGCTGTGTGGGAGAAATCCTACTCAATCGTGCATTTACTGTTCACGTACTGTCCGCACATTACTTCCTCATCAACATCAATTAAACCTTTTCAGCTATTCCATCTCACGTTTGCAGCCTGAGAACAACTTGAGGGTGTTTGAGAACTGCGAGTTTTGGTTTGATTTTGTAGCTTTTCTTAAAATTCTCACGCTGTTCCACTGGATGTTTTCAGCTAAAGTCAGGCATGATCTCCGCTTATTCCTTTTACCAGCTGCCTGTAAGGATGAAGCACGCTCTTATTTATGTCAAACATCAGGTCAGAAACGTTTTATTGGTGTAGGATCTTTGTGGGATTTCTTTTTTCTTAACGCTCAGTTTATTATGCACAACCAGTATTTCTATGCCACATATCTGTGATATTGATACTGAGTTGTTGCAGAAAATGGTTTTTGACAAGGACTGGATTTTATTTTGTAATTTTTTTCTTGTTTTTACTCATGACACATGAACTAAAGGCAAAAATGTTAATTATTTCTTTGTTTGAATGTGAATTATAATTTTTTTTCTCCCATCTGTTACCTTAGTTTCTTTTATTTCTGCAGTAGTAACGGATTAATCAGCTTGTTTTCTAGTGAAACTATGAAATGACTGTTGTCTTTTGTCATAACCAAGTTCTCATGAATGTTGCACACAAAGCACTACAGAACAACTGGAGTTACTTGATTTTTGTCAGTGTTGTGTCACAATTAAAACTTATAGCCGATTGTGTTGTGTACAACTCTTTTTTTATTAAGCTGTTAAAACCATGTTTTACTTTACTACTATGTTATAGAAAACTAAGGTTAAAGGCCAGAATCCAAAACCAACAATTCATTTTTGTACGTGTAGATCCAAATAGAAGAACGTGTGTGTGTGTGTGTGTGTGTGTGTGTGTGTGTGTGTATATATAACCATCTCTATTTATAACTCAGATTGACGATCAACCCCAGTTGATCCTGTGCCATCGTAGTGGGATTAAACTACCTACATGTTATTTTAGGAACATCTACTTTTTCCTAATAGGATCTAAGATTTGTTCACTCACTGACTGACTGGAGCAGCTCCCACTGCTACTATAAAGTTAGCTTGAAGTTTATTTCTAATGTTTGAAATGTTTTTAAGCTACATACTGGCTCAATTTGACACTTTAATGGGATGAAGCATTCATGAATGTTAAACTCTGTGACCATCTGTACTGTCCGCCATGAAAACCACAATGTTTTCTGCAGTATATAAAGACTGACATACAAATACTTA